ATATTGATTATGTTGAGTGACAACAGGAAAAATGTCTGTGTGTTACCCAATTTTCAGAGTCAAAGAAAAGAGATGAAGAGAAACCAATTGGCTCATCGGATAGCCCGTAAAAAGTTGACGGAAGGCCATTGATCAAAATTAAGAAAACTGTTTTAATCTCATGATGTGATAAACTAAGAGCCGTTTTGGTAACGCACAGACATGAAAAACATGAAGGTTTTTAGTTCATTTTTTTCTAAACAGAACATCGATCTGAAAAAACTCGATGTAGCCATAAAGAACGTCGGAACACTTTTCTACAAAATGCTACATGACACTTCATGTTTACTCTTTTCTTTCTGTGTCTCTCATTTACATTTTGAGAAGCACTTCCAAATCAAGCCTAGACCCTGGTGACCAGTAATCAGTTTCAATCATATTTTCCAGCCTTACTTATGCTGTCGAACCAATCAAAATAGAGTTTCTTATGCAGAAAGTTGTGTTTTACAAGATGGTATAGTTTGTTTTGAAAACAAAGCAACTTCTACTTCAATCATGTTGGTTGACCGTTAGCCGTTTTGACTGTAAAGATATAATGGAAATGTTCCCACGTTTGACTAAATTTTACTGTTTCCCTCTTTAGCACTAATTTGACAAATTCACGTTTTTCAACTTCTTTCCAGATCAAAAATTTTGCAGTCATATTTATTTTATAATTATGCTGAATTTTATTCGTGACATCCATACATATTTCTTGTGATTTTCGTACAATTTTTGCGGACACTTACGAAACAAGTCAACAGAGAAGACTACGATAAAAAACAGAAAGAATGACAAGGAAGAGAAAACGAATAGAACGATAATCGAAATCGAGGCAGTGGTGACGCGGTTGGCGTGCGTTGCTGTTCTTCCTTTGTTTATTCTTCCGATACTGTATATCTTGACTGCGAAGACACCGAACCGGGGGAAGGAATCGTACCATCTCTTGCCTGACTAAGAATCAGATGCATAGAACAACTACGACATCCCCCGCTAAGTCATATTTTTCTTTTTACGCACAAGAAATGAAAAAGATACTGAAGATCAATGTTTTCATAATTCTTTGGTTTAGTTATTTATTCACCTTTTATCCATTTGTCTATGCCCCCGTTAAAATTCTAATAATACAATATATAGGATGTCGCTCCTGTTAGACAAAACAATTTCGGAGTTTTTGGGTTGGAATCAGTGTTACCAAAAACGTTTTTTTGGAATCGAGCTCAGGTTTCAGAGCCGAAAAACTTAACTCCGCAGGACTCTAAGCCGCACTTACATCCAAGTATGAGAGTTCAACATCTCCAGTTAGAGAGATCAATTCAAAGCCGGTATACTGGAAAGAAGCATGGGGGATCAAAATGCAATCCAATCAATATTGCTTTTCTGATTTACGCATAACAGACATTCTGTTCCCTCAGTAATATATTGTCCGAAAGCATTCGCGAAACATATTTATTCCATTCAGTGACTACCCATTGTTCTCTGCCTTAGTCAATACTTTTGGATTCTAAGAGTGGATTTAAAAAGAAAACTTTCAATTATTAAAAAGCACGCTCGCCTCATGGTGATTGCAGTTTCGAATCAAAATCTACGCGTATTTCAAAAAATATCCATATAATTTTTCTTCGACAGTATATATCGACTTTACTCAGGCAGCGAAAGAGTCAATCCATCATCCATCAACGTCAATTATTAATCGATACTTCTTTAAACTGTTCATAATCTCGAATATAGTCACTTTCATCATAATAATCACTTGCAAGAACCATCAGGACACAATCAGATGAAAAATCATGCATTTCTACCCATAT